AAGAAGAAGATCCATGTGGAAGAATGTGCCTAATTCTTACTGGAATTTACCATTTTTCTCCCTAGGACAAACAACTTAGAGTAGTTATAGCATAGATTCAGGTTTTAGAGTAGAAATAAGACATCAGAGGTCACTTAGTGTAACCTCCCACCCAAGACCTTAACCCTACCGATCAAATTCAGTCATTTATTCAACAAATATTTTCAGTACCTCCTATGAACCACCACTACAACAGACACTTTTAATGCATTCTAAACATGAGAGGCAAGTATCCCAAACTCATAAATATAACAACATAATCAATGAGACAAAGTACATGTGTTTACTAACACATGAATAATTATAGATTTTGATACAGTCTTTGAAGGAAATGAACCAATGCTTGGATAGAGAACAACATAGGGCAGAGGGAATGTAATCACAGGCAGGATGGTCAGGTAAGTCTTCTCTGGAAAGGTGACATTTGAGCTGACTTCTGACAAAAAAGAAACATGCCATTCAAGGAGCTGAGCAAACAGCATTCCAGCTAAATGAAACAGACAGTGCAAAGACTCTGTAAGAATAAATGCTTATAGCAAAGTGAGAAAAAGGAAAAAGGTGAAGTTAAAGAACTGAGCAGGGATCTGACAATGCATCCCTGTTGACCATGAGAGAAAGTTTGGACTATACATTAAATACAATAGGAAAACTTTAAACAGGGTAATGGCAGGATGTGATTTATACCGAAAAGAGAGCTCCACCATATATCGTCCCTTCTAGCATAGGAATGCCCATATGTAACCTGGCAAACTAGGTACCAGTTGCTTTAGAACATCCAGACTCCTCATAGCCCAGGTGATTATCATATTTTTTAAAGTAAGAATATGTGCATATAGTTCATCCTGTAATAACAGTATTAATAGTAGTAGTGGTGGTGATGATGGTGGTGTTAGTAGTAGCAGCAGCAACAGCAGCTAATAGCTTTTGAGTGGTTACTATATGATCGGCACCATTTTAAATATTTTTACGTATTAGCTCATCTAATCCTCACAAGAATGCAAGGAAGCAGGCTCAGTTATTATCCCTCTTTTACAAATGAGCAAACTGAAACTACATGCCCATTAAGTAAATATTTTCTTTTTCAATCATTTCTGTTCTTATTTTGTTACTATAATTCAGCTCAACATGTTTTCTAGTATTTGTTGTGATTTCTTCTTTGACCCAAAATTTATTTAGAAGTGTACTGCTTAATGTATAAACTTCTGAGGATTTCTAGTTCTTTTTCTAATACTGAATTCTAGTTGAATTCCACTTCAGTGAAAGAACATTGTATAGTATTTCAATTCTTTGAAATTTGTTGAGATTTGTTTTATGTCTTAGTTAGTCTACTTTTATAAACACTCCATGGTTGCCTGAAAAGAATGAGCATTCTGCAGTTGTGATAGTGTTCTATAAATGTCAATTAGGTCAGGCTGTTTAATGGTTTTGCTCAAATCTTCAATATTCTTTGTAGCTTTTTGTGAGTGTGTTTATCAGTTACTGGGAAAGAGTATTAAAATCTATTCGTCTATTTAATCTTATCAATCTTTGTTTTATGTATTTTAAAGTTATCTTCAGTATCATTGGTTTTGCCTTCTTATTGAATTAAATCTTTCAACATTAATAAATGTTCCTCTGTATTTTCATTAATATTTTTGCCTTAAAGTCTACTTTGGTATTTTAGACTCACTGACGAGCTTTTGGTGAGTATTTACGTGCCATATCTCTTCCATAATTTTACTTTCAATCTATTTGTGACCTTTTATTTAGCAAATTGCTCCTATAAACAGGACATAGTTGGGCCAATCTAACACTTGCCTCTTAAGTGTGTTTAGTTTATTTGTATTTAATATAATTGCTGATATACTGGGTTTAAGCTTTCTTTTGTTTTTTTTTTCTATTTATCTCATCTGCTTTTTGTCCTTTGATCCTGTCTTTTCTATCTTCCTTTGGATTAACTGAGTATTTTTTAATATTCCATTTTTAGCTCCTCTACTAGCTTTATGTATTTTTTGGTAGTTGTCCTAGAGATTGCAATATGCGTTGTTGAATTATTTCTAATAATTTTAAATGTATACTTTTCCTATTTCCTTATTGCATCAATCTTAGAATAGTTTAACTCCTTTCCTTCCTCCTGCCCTTTATGCTGTTGTCATATGTTTTACTTCTACATGTTATAAAACCTAAGAGACATTTTTATTATTGTTACTTTAAATGGTCAGTATTCTTTTTATTTACTCTTTCTGGCTAGGTTCATTCCTTCCTTTAATTTTGTGCTTGTAAGATGGTTTATATTCTCTCTTGTATTTCTTTTAATACAGATACAAATTATAAAATCTAAGTTAATTTTTTCATTTTTTGAAAAATCTTTGCATCACATTCTTTTTATTTTTTTCACTACTATTTCTGAAGAATATTTTTACTGAGTATAGAATTCTAAGGTGAAAGGGGTTTTTTTCCCCTATTAGCACTTTAAAGATGTCATTCCACTGTTTTCTGGCTTTCAGGGTTTCTGTTGAAAGTCAGCCATCAGTGATACTGTTGTTCTTTTGAAGACAATATAACCTTTTTTCTCTGGTTTCTTTTAAGATTTTTTTCTTTATCGTGATTTTAAGTGGCTTTACTGAGGCTGATGTGCATTGGTGGTTTTCTTTATGCCTTTTCTATGTGGGGTTGACAGAGCATCATGGATCTGTAAACATTTTTCATCAGTTTTGGGAAATTCTCGGTCATTATCTTTTTTCAAATATTGCTTCTATCCATTCTCTATTTCCTTCTTCAGGAACTCCACTACGTACATGTTAATCAACTTGACTGGGTCCTATATAGCTCTTTGCCTCTGTTCTGTTCTTTCTATTCCATTTTCTCTCTATGCTTCAGTTTGAATGATTTATTTAAATATTTTTTAGGGTGCTTGATGTCATTGATTCTATCTTTAACTGTATAGAATCTGGTGTTAAACTTATCCAATGACTTCTAAATTTTAGATACTGCATTTTTATTTTTCTGCTCTACAATGGCCATTTTATTTTGTGTATGTGATAATTCTCTGTTTAAATCTTACTCTGTTAAATCCATTTGGGGCTACAAATCAAAATGGCTGACTAGAGGTGCCCAGCACCCACCTCCTCCACAAAGAAGGACCAAAACAATAAGTACATCACTGTACTTTGAGTAGAGAATCTAAAGGAGAACATTGGAATTCAACAAGGAAGTGAAAAAGACCCTCTGAGGCACAGAAACTAAGGATGGCAGCATAGAGAAAGAAGCAAAGTCCATGTCTAGGATCAGCTCAGAGCCATGAGAGATTCCTACTATGGAGAAAGGGTAGTGGGAAATCTTCAGCAGTGCCCATTATCACCATGGACACCTGCAATCCCAGCTATATAAGAGTCCCACAGTCCTCACAGACCCTAAGCCCAATATAGCAAGCTGCTTGGAGTCCATATAGCTGCATTGCTCCAGAGAGGAAACTCATGGTGGATCTCCCCAAATCCCCAGGACCCAAGCTGCTACAGCCTGGCACCACTTTGCAAACAGAGCCACTGCTAAAGCACATCCTGCCCTGGAACTCAATAGCCCCTGCATCTTCACATCCCTGGATCCCCTTTTTGCCCCACCATGTCCAAACAAAGGGCTGCAGTGTCATGACTCCAGATAGACCCAGTGTTATAGTCATGATCTCAACACCCAAGATTACTCAGCTCCCTACACCCCATGGAACCAGGCAGTCAGTGCAGTGGGGGACCACACCTAGGACTGGGAAAACCAATGCACACACTCTCCAGGACCTGAAAGTCAGTCACCTAGAATCTGCAGCCACCAGCAACCTCATGCCCTCAACCAATGGGGCCACTGTGTGCCACACATGCATGCCCCAGGGCTCAAAGACAGGCCTATCTGGCACCCACTAACATCAGCAACCCCACACCCTTAACTGGTGGACCTACCATGCACAACACATGTGCTCCCTCCCCCCAGGACCAAAGGATAGGCCAATGTGATGCCTGCCACTGCCAGGTGCCCTTCCCCCTCAACCAAAAAAGCTGTAGAATCCCACACACACATCACCCAGGGCCCAAGGATAGGTCTGGCTGGTATCAGCTAGCAATCCAGACCCCTTAACTGGCAGAGCTACCACACACTGTGCACATGCCCCTCAGAGACCAAGGACTGGCCTGCCCAAGGCAAACCACCATCAGAAACTCTATCCTCAGCAAAGCTGCTCCAATGCCTCCACAAACCCTGCAATTTAGGCCACCGAGGCATCTGGAGAAATCACTGACATTAATTACAGCCAAAGAAATCACATAGAGACTTTACTACTTCACGCACCCAGAACCAATACCAAAGCACCCTACCCAACCAACACTATAGGTCACAACTATAGAAAAAATCTTTTTCTAAGAAAGCCACTCCATAAAATTGAAAGAGGTGAGTATTCTACCAGATTCACAGATATCAATGTAGGAACACAAAAGCATGAAAAAGCAAGAAAATATGACATCCCCAAGGGAACACAATAATATTCCTGTACACACTTCAAAGAAAATAAAATATATAAAAGGCTTGAAAAGGAATTTGAAATAGTGATCTTAAGGAAACGTACTGTAATACAAGATAATGATGATAAATAATATTAATAAATCAGTAAAATAATACATGATGTGAATGATAAATTCAACAAAGAGATAGATATTATCTAAAAAGAAAGAAACAGAAATCTTGAAGCAGAAGATTTAAATGAAAAACAAATTAAGAATATAACCAAGACCTTGAACAAGGTCAAGCAGAAGAAAGAATTTCCAAACTTATAGACAGGTCTTTTGAAATAAGTCAGATCAAAGAAAAAAAATAATAAAAGGTGAAATAAGCCTACAGGACCTATGGGGCACCATTAAGAGAACAATTTTTTTGTATTATGATAAGAGATGGGGAAAGGAATAGAAAACCTATTTAATAAGTAAAAGCTGAAAACTTACCAAGTCTTGGGAAAAATATGGACATCCAGATCCAGGAAGCTCAAAAGTTCCCAAACAGATTCAAGCCAAATAGGTCCTCTCCAAGGGACGTTATAGTAAAACTGCCACAAGTCAAAAGCACAGAGAGAATTCTTAATATAGCAAAAGAAAAGCATCATGTCACATATAAGAAAATCCCAAACAGAAAAAAAAAACAAATAGATTTCCCCAAGTCACATATAAAGGAATACACATATAAGGTTTCAGCAAAAATCTTAAAGGCCAGAAGAGAATGGGATGACGTGTTCAAAGTGCTGAAAGAACAAAACTGCCAGCTAAGAGTACTGTATTCAGGAAAGCTATTCTTCAAAAATGAAGGAGAAATAACCCTTTCCAGACAAGCAAGAACTGAGGGAATGTGTGATAACTTGATGGGCCTTATGAGAAATCCTTAAAGGAGTTCTATATCCAGAAATAAAAACACACTAACTACAATTATGAAAAACACCAAACCACAATGATAAAAAAATGAGAGAGGAAAAAAAAACAAACAGCATCAAAACAGCCAGAAAATAATTAACAAAAGGATAAGAATAAGTCTTCACCTATCAATAATGATCTTGAATGTAAATGGATTAAATTCCATAATTAAAAGCTATAGACTAGCTAAATGAATAATAAAACAAGACCCAAGTTTGAGACCAGTCTAGGCAACATGGTGAAGCCTATCTCTACAAAAAAACAAAAATTAGCCAAGTGCGGTGGCACACGCCTGTGGTCCCAGCTACTCAGGAGGCTGTGGCTGGAGAATTGCTTGGACCAGGGAGGTGAAGTTTACAACGAGCTGAGATCACACTACTGCTCTCCAGCCTGGGCAACAGAGTGAGACCCTGTCTCAAAAAAAAAAAAAAAAAAAAAAAAACTAAACCCTTCTATAAAGGTACACATAGACTGAAACTGAAGGGTGGAAAAAGATATTCCATACAAACAGAAACCAAAAATGAGTAAAAGTAGCTATACTTATATAAGGTGAAATACACTTCAAGTCAAAAACTGTAAAAAGAGACAAGGTTATTATCTAATGATAAGGGAATTAATTCACCAAGAGGATATAACAATTCTAAATATATATACACTCAACACTTCAGCACCCAGATGTATCAAGCAAATATTATTAGATGTAAAAGGAGAGATAGACCCCAATACAATAATAGCTGGGGACTTGACTTGAACACCCCACTGTGAATATTAAATAGATTATCTAGAAAGAAAATCCACAAATAAACACTAGACTTAAACGCACTACAGACCAAATGGACCTAACAGACTGCAGAATATTTTGTCCAACAGATGCAGAATACATATTCTTCTTGGCAGCACATAAAACATTCTCCAGGATAGACCATATGTTAAGCCACAAAATAGGTCTCAAAGAATTTTTTTAAATTGAACTCATATCAAGTATCTTCAGACCGTAACAAAATAAAACTAGAAATCAATAAAAAGAAGAACTTTGAAAACTGTATAAATACATATAAATTATACAACTTGTTCCTGAACAACCAATGGTCCAATAAAGAAATTCGGAAAAAAGTCGAACATTTCTTGAAACAAATGTAAATGAAAACACAACATACCACACCTATGGTTTATAGTAAAAGCAGTGCTAAGAGGGAATTTTATAACAATAAATACCTACATCAAAAAAAAATAAAGATCTCAAGTAAACAATGTAACAATGCAACTCAAGAAAGTAGAAAGGCAAGAACAAACTAAACCCAAAATTAGCAAAAGAAAAGAAATAATAAAGATTAGAGCAAAACCAAACAAAATAGAGATGAAAAAATACAAAGGTTCAACAAAATAAAAAGAGTTGTTTTCTTGAAAACTGACAAAACTTTAGCTACACTAAGAAAAAGAGAAAGAAAACCCAAATAAATAAAATCAGAATGGAAAAAAGAAACATTACAACTGACATTGCTGCAATACAAAGGATAATTAGAAACTATCATGAACAACTGCATATCAACAAATTGAAAAACCTAGAGAAAATGAATAAACTCTTGGAAATATACAACCTTGGTTCAACCAGGATTGAACCAAAAAAAAAAAAAAGACCAACAGTGAAAAACAAGATAGATTCAGTAATTTAAAAGCCTCCCAACAAAAGGAAAAGCCCAGAACCAGATGCCTTCACTGCTGAATTCTACCCAATTTTTAAAGAATAACAAACACCAATTTATCTAAAACTATTCCAAAAAATTGATTGCAAGAAAAAAATTCCAAATTCATTCTATAACACCAGATATCTAAAACCAAAACCAAATAAGAACACAACAAAAAAAGCAAACTATAGGCCAGTATCCTGATGAACATAGATACAAAACCCTCAACAAAATACCAGCAAACCAAATCCAACAGTATATCAAAAATATACTCCAAAACCAAGTGAGATTTATCCCAGGGATGGAATGATGGTTCAACATACACAAATCAATAAACACTATAAATCACATCAACAAAATAGACAAAAACTATATGATCATCTCAATAGATGCAAAAAGCATTTGATAAAGTTCAATATCCCATCATGGTTAAAAAAATAACTGTCAACAAATTAGGCATACAAGGAACATACCTCAACACGATAAAGATTTTATGACAAACCCACAGTTCACTTCTATTGAAGGGGGAAAGTTGAAAGCTTTTCCTCTAAGAACTGGAACGAGGTAGGAATGCCGACTTTCACCACTCTTATTCGACATAGTGCTAGAAGTCCTAGCCAGAGCAATCAGGCATAAGAAAGAAATAAAGGGCATTCAAATTTGAAAGGAGGAAGCCAAATTATCTCCATTTGCAAACAACATGATCTTATATAATAGAAAAACTAAAGGATTCACCAAAAAAACTCTAAGAAATGATAAACTAGCAAAATCAACAAAAAAAAAATCAGTAGTGTTTCTATACATTAATAATGAACTAGCTGATAGAGAAATCAATAAAGCAATCCCATCTACAACACCTACTGAAAGATAAAATACCTAGGAATAAATTGAATCAACGAGGTGAAAGATCTCTACAATGAAAGCTGTGAAACACTGATGAAACTGAGGAGGACACACACAAAAATGGAAAGACATATATCTCATGGTCATGGATTGGAATATATAATATTATTAAAAAGATCATAATATCCAAGGCAATTTACAGATTCAATGCAATCTCTGTCAAATTACCAATGTCATTCCTCACAGAAATAGAAAAAATAGGAAGGAGCCAAGATGACTAACTAAAAACAGCTGCAGTTGGAGGCTCCCACTGAGAAGAATCGAAACAGTGAGTGAATCCTGCACCAGCAACTGAGGTATCCAGGTTCTCTCACTGGGACTAGGTGGTTTGTGACTCATGGAGAGGGAGGAAAATCAGAGTGGTGCAACAGCCTACCTAAGACCCACATGGGGTAAGGCGAGCTCCCACCCCCAGTCAAAGGAGGCAGTGGGAAGTCACACTTTTTCCAAGGATCTGTGCAACCCACAGATCAGGGAATCCCACTCATGAGCCCACACCACCAGGGCCTTGGGTCCCAAGCACAGAGTTGTGCAGATTCTCAGCAGTCACTCAGCTGGAGAGTGCCTAAGATTACTGAGTTCCTTGAGGGAAGGGAAGCCATTATCACTGTGACTGCCTGGTGCCTAAGATGACTGAATTTCAGGAAGGATGGGCAGCAGCCTTCCCTGCAGCTCCAGCCTGCCATTTTTCCCCTGCTGGGGCTTGGGAGACAGAACGGTCTGCACCCAGGAGGAATTCCCCACAGCACAGCATGATGGCTGTGGCAGATCATGGCCAGCCTGCCTTTTTAGGCTGGACTCTGACCCATTCCCTCCTCTCTGGGCTGGACCTCCCTGCAGGAATTTCAGCAACTCCAGTCAGGAGTTTAGGGACAGAACTCTGATCTCCCGGGGACTGAGCCCCTGGAAAGAGGGGGAGCCATGGTCTCTGTGGATCAACAGACTTAGTCTTTCCTTCTGCTGGCTCTGAGAAATGCAGGCAGCCCAGACAAGTGGGATTCCCCACAGTTCAATACAGTCCCTCTGCCAAGGGGCAGCCAGAGTGCTTCGTTAAGTAGGTCCCAGAACCCATGCCCCCTAACTGGGTGTGACACCCCTAACAGGGGTTGCCAGACACCTTATACAGGAGCATTCCTGCTGGCATCAGATCAGTGCCTCTTGGGGACAGAGATCCCAGGGGAAGGAGGAGGAAGCCATCTATGCTGTTCTGCAGCCTCCTCAGGTGACACCTCCAGGTGTGGGAGGGACAGAGGAAAATAGGGTTTGGAGTGACCCCCAGCAAATGGCAACAGCCCTACAGAAGAGGGACCTGACTGTTAAAATAAAAACAAACAGAAAGCAACAACAGCAGCATCAATGAAAAAGTCTCCACAAAAACCCCATCCAAAGGTCAGCAGCCCCAAAGACTGAAACTAGACAACTTATGAAGATGAGAAAGAATCAACAACAACAAAAAAAAAAATGATGAAAACTCAGAAAGCCAGAGTGCCTCCTCTTCACAAGATTTCACCTCTCCAACAAGGGCACAGAACTGAGCAAAGGCTGAGATGTACAAATTGACAGAAGTAGGCCTCATAAGGGAGTTAATAACAAATTTTGCTGAGCTAAAGGAGCATGTTCTAACCCAAGGCAAAGAAGCTAAGAGCCATGATACAATATTACAGGAGATGTTAATGAGAATAACCAGTTTAGAGAGGAACATAAATTACCTGACAAAGCTGAAAAACACAACACAAGAACTTCACAATGCAACCACAAGTATCAATAACCAAATAGACTAAACAGAAAAAAGAATTTCAGAGCTTGAAGACTATGTTGCTGAAATAAGACAGGAAGAAAAGATTAAAGAAAAAAGAAGGAAAAGGAACAAACAAAACCTCTGAGAATTATAGGACTATGTAAAAATATGGGACCTATGATGGATTGGTACCTGAAAGAGGCAGGGAGAACAAAACCAAGATGGAAAACATACTTCAGGATATCATCTGGAAGAACTTTCCCAACCTAACAAGACTGGCCAACATTCAAATTCAGGAAATACCAAGAACCCCAGTAAGATACTCCACAAGAAGACAAACCCCAAGACACATAATCATCAAATTCTCCAAGGTTAAAATGAAGGGAAAAGTGTTAAAGGGAGCAAGAGAGAAAGGCAAGATCACCAACAAAGGGAAGCCCATCAGACTAACAGCAGATTTCTCTGCAGAAACCCTACAAGCCAGAAGAGATTGGGGACCAATATTCAACACTCTTAAAGAAAAGAATTTTCAGCCCAGAATTTCATATCTGGCCAAATTAAGCTTCATAAGCAAAGGAGAAATAAAATCCTTTTCAGACAAGCAAATGCTGAGGGAATTCGTCACCACCAGTCCAGCCTTGCAAGAGTCCCTGAAGGAAGCATTAAATATGGAAAGGAAAAACTGGTACCAGGCACTGCAAAGCACACTGAAGTACAAAGTCCAATGACACAATGAAGCAGCTACATAAACAAGTCTGCAAAATAACCAGCTTGCATCATGATGACAGGATCAAATTCACACATAACAATATTAACCTTAAATGTAAATGGGCTAAATGCCCCAATTAAAAGGCACACAATGGCAAACTGGATAAAGAGTGAAGA